ATTTAGGGGAAGGGGAGGGGGATGGACTTTTAGGTGGCGTTGATGGTGATGGGTTCGGTGAAGGTGAAGGTGGGGAAGGTGAAATTAGGTTTTTCTTGGCCGTTATTTGCAAGGGGTGCTCATAATCAGGGCCGGCTAGTGCTTCTGTTTGTTGCTGAGCTCTGACCGCTGATCCTCTCTGAAAACAGAGTTGCGCGGCAAGGGTTAGAGCTTATATATTTCACGTCCTTCCCAACCAGCACATAGTGCAATGAATTATTGAAATACATATGTAAAACTGCTACATGATGTAATGAAATTGCAATATTTTTACATCATCAGGGAACATGCCCCTGGACTGCTTCGCAGTCCAACCCCCTGAAGGGATCCGTGCCGTAGGCGTTACTCTTATAATTTTATATTATGGAGTAAGATTCAGTCGATGAATGCCGATTTAAAACGATTGATCCTAGATGAGTTTCAAGAATCAGAAAAATAGGCAATTTGCAATGCAAAGACAAATTGCAACTTATTTAATTTAATTGCAATAAATCTCAATAAACTCCGATGCAGTGGCAATAATTTTACCATGTAATTTGCAACTGAATGCGGCGTTTGTCGCACAAAACAGATACAGCCAACGAATGTAGGCTCTGCAGAGGTAAAATCGCACAACAATCACGTCGAGCACATCGGGAAAGTTTAAAATTCACTTCCCAAATAAGCCCAATTTGCGTGGTTTGCTTCTTGGATTTTTTTTTTAAATTTCCCACGTGCGCCAACTTCTAAATTTACCAGGAAGCCGGTTCGCCGAGAGAGAGGTTTAAAATAACCCAACCTTCGTAAACGCGTGAATTTTTAGCCTCGAACTCATATTTTAAATGTTTTAAATTTTTAGCTTTGAAACGGTCTTGAAAATTTTAAGATTTTTTAATGAGTTAGTTGTAAGGAGACTCAAATTTGACTCTCCTTTGCGTTGAAACGCCGGGTGAAGTCGAGAGCGCCGGCCACGGGCTGTGTGCGTTAAAGACGCAATAAAAATAATAATAACAAATAGGTTCCCTATTAACTTGTGGCTGTCAGAGTTCAGGCAGTCCAGCGTGCATAAAATCATGAAAAATTATGAAGAACAAAGATTCAATCATGTACTCGCGGTTTATCATAACGGTCGGTTGTATTAGAGCCAATCGAGTCATGCAATGCTTGATCTTGCTAAGCTATGTATGGGATTAAGCCGTAAAAAAGTTTTAAGTGTGAATAACTCTACTCTTTTTTCCTAATGATCAAAAGCAGGCTCAAAACAATAATGACAGGCATGCGTATCTCGTTATCAAGTTTCAGTTTCTAATCATACAACCCTTAATCCAGCCGTATGAGATCAAATTAAAGTTTCTGATAAGAAATTCTAAGCGCAAAACTCTTTTTTCGGTCTTCAAATTATCATAGTTCGCCAACAACCGGTTTAATGCACAAATTGCAAAAATGCGTATCTCGTGATTTAGTGTCAATTCTTGGTGCCGAAAGCGCAAATCTCGGTATTTCTATCGTATTTTCTAACAGATCGAAAAATTATTCAAAATGCTGATGGTGTCTGGAAAAGCATTTTATTCTTTGCTATCCTCAAGAATTATTTCCCTTCTACGGACAAAAAGGAGGGATGTTGACACTTTTTTTTGCTCTCCCGAAAAATCGTGTTTTCCGAGATACGCACTTCTGTCGTCTCACCACCGCAACGGCAGATACGCCTCCTTGGCGTGTCAAAGACGCGCTCCTATGAGAGATAAGAAAGAAAAAATAAGACGAAAAAAGAAATTATGACCGAGAAAAAATGCTTAAAATTCTTAAATGAACGGGAGAAGAGAAGGCAAGAGTAAAGAAACCAACATAATTTGGACTAGAGGGACGGAATCGAGGGAAAAGTCGCGCGTTGGCGACGGCGCAGAGATACAACTATTCGTGCTTGATGGATGTCCGTGTTGCAGCATCTGAAAAATTGAAGGCGCCATGGCGCCAGGCGTTAACTCGCAACTTTCCACTCGATGCTGCCAAATTAGGTGTCGCTCCGATTCGAGAAAAAAGTTAAAAAACGAGGCCCGAACACACTTCCCGTAAGCATCTTCGGCTGTGTTGACACTCGATTTTTCTTTTTGTTTCACTTTGATGTATGATTATTTTTCTTAGGATGTATTTTTAGACCTATACATCTGAAGCTCGTGGGCATCGGCCCCACATCCCGCGGGGCGCGTGTTTTTGGGAAGGGCACGGTTCCATTTGACCTGGTTTGGGCATCTAAGGGCTAATTTAAACTAATTTTCTCCGTAATTCAAGCGCTCTCCCCATGTTTTTACAAAGACTCAGCTCAGGAAATTTTTAAGAATTACTAATCATGTTTGAGCCAAGCCCTCTTTTTGTGAGGGATGAGGGTAGTGGCGATTCTTAAAAGATTGTAACGCGGTTTTTTCTCCATTTTAATGCATGTGAATCAATCGGCTCACCTGAAATCGATAATTTTAATGGATTTAAATTAAAGAATAACAGTGTTGCAAACTTTCAGAATCGCCATTGGATGAGGGTCTTGCTACTCACACTATAATAAATGCGATAGTCACTAAAAATGGTCTTTGAGAGGGGGGGGGGAGAATAAAAATGGCATAACTAAATTGTGTGTGCCCTTTGGACCGAAAGTGTTTGTTTTGGGTTTTGGACTTCTATAATAAGAGCGAGAGACGTAATCGGACGCGGTTTTCCGGATGGATGTTTACGCGTTTGTGACGTCTCATAAGCCCGGGAGATAGACGATCAAAATCCGAACCAATTCCGATCATAGTAGACATGCTGATGACTGATGGTCACCATCTACCATCAAATTTTTACCGCACTTATTTGTTCAAAGTAAGATCAGAATGGAGTGCCACCATTCATCATTTCCTGCCGCAGGCAACATTTCTGCCAAGTTTTCATTTTAAAATGAAGCAAATTAATAAGTTTAAGACTGATGACTCCCGACACTTTGATGCTACTTTGATCGGAATTGGTTCGGGAATTTGATCGTCTATCCAGGGCTATAGCCGATTTTTTAGCGGAGCTAAGTTCGTTCGGCTTCAACTTTGGCTCTGGGCGCTCGACTACGCATTTTGGTATAGTTTGCGTTCGCCGAGGTCCGACGCCTTAAGCACTTGGAGATTTGCCTGCTTAGTTTTGGTGTTTAGTACGGTATTGTGGTCACGAAGTCCGAGTTTCGTCGTGTTGTGGGATTTCATAGGAAATTGAGGGAATAACGAGTAATCCCCGGTAAAGTCGTGCGTTAGGAGTAATTTTCATGTATCGAGCTACGCTGCGCCCCCAAAAAGATAAGCTCCGGGCTCCGGGACTCAGATTATTGAGTTTAATTTTGTATCGATTGGCGCAGAGAGCACCCTAAAATTCTAAATATTGAACCCTCGCAAACATAATTCACTGACGAGTGTGATCTGCTGATGAGGTCTAAAAAGACTCAATGCGGTATAGATCTTTCGCCGTGACTCCGACTTACTATTCCAATGCAAACTGCCTGAGCAGAACCCTCCCTCCCCCCTCCTCAGTTTTGTACCGGTACTCATTAGAGTTAAAAATATTTACTTTTGACTCTAATTATAATTTTTGGAACATCTTGGCTTTGATTTCCCCGCAAAATGGTGTGGACCCAGCACCATTTCTCCACCTTGTTACGCACAGTCTTCGGGCCACTTTTTAGTGTTTTTTTCTCATAATTCAAAGTTAGGGAACAATTAGTTTTGAATCACCATAAAAACACCATCAAAGTTTGATCGCATTGTTGCCATCTGTGGAAACGATATATACTTCAAACGTTCACAGTATGTATTTTTGTCATCGTAAATTAAGGCTTGAAACTTTGACCCGATACTCTTGAGCATTAGAAAACGTTAAAAGCTAAAAATTGAGAGTTGATATTTTTGACCCATCATTTTTTTGCTACACTGAACAGTTTAATGGTGCCACCTAAAAGCAAAGGCTCTGAGAGTCGATCTTGGGTTTGTAAAAAGAAAACTCCTATAAATCCATGTTGCACCGGTCGCAATATATTGCGGTTATATGGTAGGATGTTTGCTATTGCATGTGCAGGAGTGCTGAGTTTGTTGTCTAATCACTAGGTGATTGAAAAGGCTCATCTGATTGAAATTGATTGCGGAAAAGTCGGAATGAATTTTCGCATCGCAAATTGCTACCTTTCTATCGGACTCATTTCATTGGTTATTTAATATAATCGGCACGTATTGATCAAATTATGTAAGAATATTGCAGTTTTATCGCATTGCGGCATTGATTGCATGATTATTTCAATGTTCTCGTTGCCTTGTGCTACTTTAGAGACTGTGATAACAATATCTTCATTTTAACATTTTCGGTGCGGAGGTACCTATAGGTATACTTAAGTCCCTTAAAGGGCAGAGTGAAAACAGAACTATAAGTAAAACTGACTGACATGATTTAACCTGTTAAAAATATAAAATACTTAGATAAATTACCTGAGAGGGACCGGAGATAGTCATAAAAATCTCGCAGACTAACATCACACCAAAAATGTGTTTTACAGATCCCCGTCCCAACACCATTGTGATTCAGATGAATACTAGATCGACAAAGCTTTTCAATTTTGAATGACAAGAGGTTGGAATCCGAATAGTCTATCAACATTCCCATGAAAGAAGAGATCACTCGCTTTTTAGACATCCGGTTTGACAGTCGGTAGGGAGAAAACGCTAGCCAGCGTTCCTCCTCTGTTTTTAATGCTTTTAAAACAAAC